CAAACCCCCTGATCACCCTGCGGCTCTGTGTGTGACAGGGGGCGGGGCCACAACCTCCCTATCCGCCCTGCTCTGTTTGTGACAGGGGAAGCGCCCCAACCCCCTGATCAGCCCTGCTCTGTGCCTGATAGGGAGGAGCTCCCCAACCCCCTGATCACCCTGCGCTCTGTGTGTGATAGGGAGGAGCTCCCCAACCCCCTGATCACCCTGCGGCTCTGTGTGTGACAGGGTGTGGCGCCCCAAAACCCCCCCCCCACACGGACCCTGCTCTGTGTGTGATGGGGTAGAGCCATAACCTCCCCATCGGCCCTGCCCTGAGTGTGACAGTGGCGGCGCTCCAACCCCCTGATCTACCCTGCTCTGTGTGTGACAGGGGGCAGTGCCCCAACTCCCCTATCGGTCCTACTCTGTGAGTGACAGGGGGGAGCTCCCCAACCCCCTGATCGACCCTGCTCTGTGCATGATAGGGGGGAGCTCCCCAACCCCCTGATCGACCCTGCTCTGTGCGTGACAGGGTACAGAGCCCCAACCCCTCTGATGGGCCCTGCTCTGTGAGTGACAGGGGGCAGCACCCCAACCCCCTTATTGGCCCTGCTCTGTGCGTGACAGGGAGTGGCACCACAACCTCCCCATCGACCCTGCCTTGAGTGTGACAGGGTGCGGTGCCCCAACCCCCCAATCGACCCTACCGTGAGCGTGACTGGGGGTGGCATCGCAACCTCCCGATCCGCCCTTCTCTGTGCATGACAGGGGGCGGCGCCCCAACTCCCCAATCAGCCCTGCTCTGAGCCCGACCAGCGGCTGCACCTAGGGATTGGGCCTGCCCTCTGCCACCTGGGAGCAGGCCTAAGCCAGCAGGTCATTATCTCCTGAGGGGTCCCATACTGCCAGAGGGCACAGGCCAGGCTGAGAGACCTCCCCTCCCCCCCAGAGTGCACAAATTTTTGTGCACCGGGCCTCTAGTTCTATTATAATCACTAGTTCATTCTGTTCATCAGATTATTCACTTGACTTTCAGATTCACTTGTTGATAGATGTGTATTTGTTGTTCAAAATTTGTATCTTTACCTTTTTCTTCTTCTTCCTCTTCTTACAGGATACCTTTCAGCATTTCATATAATACTGGTTTGGTGGTGATGAACTCCTTTAGCTTTTCCTTATCTGTGAAGCTCTTTATCTGACCTTCAATTCTGAATGATAGCTTTGCTGGATAAAGTAATCTTGGTTGTAGGTTCTCGGCATTCATCACTTTGAATATTTCTTGCCACTCCCTTCTGGCCTGCAAAGTTTCTGTTGAGAAATCAGCTGACATTCGTATGGGTACTCCCTTGTAGGTAATTGACTTTCTTTCTCTTGCTGCTTTTAGGATTTTCTCTTTGTCTTTTGCTCTTGGCATTTTAATTATGATGTGTCTTGGTGAGGTCCTCTTTGGATTCCTTTTGTTTGGGGTTCTCTGTGCTTCCTGGACTTGTAAGTCTATTTCTTTCACCAGGTAGGGGAAGTTCTCTGTCATTATTTCTTCAAATAGGTTTCCAATATCTTGCTCTCTCTCTTCTTCTGGCACCCCTATAATTCGGATGTTGGTACGCTTGAAGCTGTCCCAGAGGCTCCTTACACTATCTTCGTATTTTTGGATTCTTTTTTCATTTTGCTTTTCTGGTTGGGTGTTTTTTGCTTCTTCATATTTCAAATCGTTGACTTGATTCTTGCGATCCTCTAGTCTGCTGTTGGAGTCTGGATAATATTCTTTATTTCGGTCAGTGTATGCTTAATTTCTAGTTGGTTCTTTATCACAACATCGAGGGTCTCATTAGTTTTCTTGTAGATCTCATTAAGTTTATCGGCAGTTTCTAGAAAATTATTGAAAGACCTTAAAAGTGTGGTTTTAAACTCTATATCCAGTAGTTTGCTTTCCTCCATTTCTGTCATTTGTGTCCTGTTTCTTTGTCTCCGCATTTTTTATGCTTCCCTGTGTTAATACAGTGGTTTTCTGTGCTAAGTGTCCTCTAGGGCCCAGTGGTTCAGCCTCCCCAATTACCTGAGGAGGACACTCTTGGTGCACCCCCTTGTGGTCTTTGTGTACAGTCTTGTTGTAGTTAAGCCTTGATTGTTGTAGGTGTCACTGGGAGAAATTGGCCTCCAGGCCAATTGGCTGTGAGAATCAGCTGTGTCTGCAGTGGGAGAACTTCTGTGCTGGAGACACCCCTCTGGGGCAAGACTTGCTTCAATGGGGCTTTGGTGCTCACTGAGTCTGTCCCCTGAGTGTGTCCCTTATGTTTCCACAGAGCTGCAAACTGGATGGTCCCATTCTGACCTCTGGGCTTCCTGGCTCCTGGATCTCTAGGGAGGTGCTAATCTAGCCTTTGCCTGAGGCTATCCAGCAAAAGCCTCCCTGCCGGGCTTGGGTGGGGCGGGTCCCACAGGATCAACTGGGCAGGGCTAGCAGTTATGGCTGCTCTCAGTCCTGCCCTCAGGGGCTTTGCTTCTCAATGTCCCGGTAATCGCTGCAAGCCCCTCGGAGAGAAAGCTGCCCTCGAGTTCCGACTGATGCCAGACAGTCCTGCTTCTCTCCTATGAGTCTGGGTCCCTAGAGACTCGCCCGGAACTGGAGCTCAGAGCCTGAGACTCCCTCCCGATTGAAAACGACAACCGCGCCCTCAGCCGCCAGCCTGCTCCGCATGCACCTCCGCACCTTAGTATTTTACTTCTGCACTGCGCCTCCTCTGAGTCTCGGTATGCTTTTCTCTTTCTTTCTAGTTGTAGAATTTCCACTCAGCCAGCCTTCCTGTGGTTCTGGCTGATGTCCGTTCCGTCCTTTAGTTGTATTTTTGAAGTGGTTGTGCGAGGCAGCAATCTCCGGTATTTACCTATGCTGCCATCTTGGTTTCTCCTCAAATAGGTTTTCAATATCTTGCTCTCTCTCTTCTTCTGGCACCCCTATAATTCAGATGTTGGTACGCTTGAAGCTGTCCCAGAGGCTCCTTACACTATCTTCATATTTTTGGATTCTTTTTCATCTTGCTTTTCCGGTTGGGTGTTTTTTGCTTCTTTGTATTTCAAAGCTTTGACTTGATTCTTGCGATCCTCTAGTCTGCTGTTGGAACTCTGCATAATCTCCTTTATTTCAGTCAGTGTATGCTTAATTTCTAGTTGGTCCTTTTTCATAACCTCGAGGGTCTCACTAGATTTCTTGAGGGTCTCACTACATTTATCGGTGGTCTCACCAGACTTTTTGAGGGTCTTACTAAATTTATCGGCGGTTTCTAGAAAGTTCTTGAAAAACCTTAAAAGTGTGGTTTTAAACTCTATATCCAGTAGTTTGCTTTCCTCCATTTCTGTCATTTGTGTCCTGTTTCTTTGTCTCCGCATTTTTTATGCTTCCCTGTGTTGATACAGTGGCTTCCTGTGCTAGGTGTCCTATAGGGCCCAGTGGCTCAGCCTCCCCAATTACCTGAGGTAGACATTCTTGGTGCACCCCCTTGTGGGCTTTGTGTACAGTCTTGTTGTAGTTAAGCCTTGATTGTTGTAGGTATCACTGGGAGGAATTGGCCTCCAGGCCAATTGGCTGGGAGAATCAGCTGTGTCTACAGTGGGAGAACTTCTGTGCTGGAGACACCCCTCTGGGGCAAGACTTGCTTCAGTGGGACTTTGGTGCTCACTGAGTTTGCCCCCTGAGTGTGTCCTTTACGGATCCGAGGAGCTGCAATCTGGATTGTCCCACTCTGACCACCAGGCACACTGGCTCCTGGATCTCTAAGGATGTGCTAATCTAGCCTCTGCCTGAGGCTACCCAGCAGGAGCTCAGCTGTGAAGCAATGAGAGTTGCCTTGGGGCCTTGGGCTAGCTGCAGTTTGTTAGGTAATTTTCAGATTGCAAAGGGCCAGGCCTTTCATATGCAAAAGCCGGCGCACAGAGCTTGGGCGGGGCGGGTGTCCCAGGGGATCAACAGGGCGGAGCAAGCAGCTATGGCTGCCCTCAGTCCTGCCCTCAGAGGCCCCGCTTCTCAGTGTCCCGGCAATCACTGCCAGCACCTCCGAGAGAAAGCCGCCCTCGAGTTCCGACAGATGCCAGACAGTCCAGTTTCTCCCGTATGAGTCTGGGTCCCCAGAGACTCGCCCGCCAGCCCTCTCCGCATGCGCCTCCGTACCTCTGTATTTTACTTCTGCACCGCACCTCCTCTGAGTCTCGGTATGCTTTTCTCTTTCCTTCTAGTTGTAGAGTTTCCACTCAGCCAGCCTTCCTGTGGTTCTGGATAATGTCCATTTTGTCTTTTAGTTGTATTTTTGAAGTGGTTGTGGGTGGCAGCAATTTCCGGTGTTTACCTATGCCGCCATCTTGGTTTCCTCCGGTGATTCACTTCTTATTACTGTGCTGCAGGAGTGCTTTATTTTGAATGCAAAGCCTTTGTCAGGTACACTTACTGCTAGTGTTTTCTCGGAGTTTGAAGTTTGTGTTTCCATGTTATCTTTTGAAGAACATCGCTAATGTTGATTGAAGTCCAATTATAATTTTTCTATGATTAGTGCTTTTTGTGTGCTAAGGAATTTTGCCTTTTTCCTGTATTTTCTTTTTTAAAAAAATTTATCTTTATTGTTGAAAGTATTACAGATGTGTGTGTGTGTGTGTGTGTGCCCCCCGCCATGGACTCCCTCTACCCCACTCCCGCCCCCAGGCCTTCCCCGCACTATTGTCTGTCCATGGGCTGTGCATCTATGCGTAGAAGCTCATTGTTCAGTCTCTTCCGCCCCGGAAGTTGCATTGCATTTGCTGTGCGACGCATCCCAAGTGCCCTCCCGTCTGGTGTGCAGCATGCGGAGACCCACACAGGTGCCCCCTGACTGACACTCCCTTTCCCCATGGAACTGCCTTGGTCACAATGTCAGAAATCTGTGTGGCAGGGGGATTCTGTCTCCCTGTGCTGCTGGCCTCCCTCGGAGGAGCTGAGTTCAGGCTGACTTCAGAGAGCGAGTCCCTCCACCCACACGACCTTCCCTCCCCAGGGGCCCAGGTGGACCAGTCCGTGTTTGAGGAGCTCATCCAGGAGCAGCTGCCGGAGCTGGCGGAGCGCCTACGCGACCCCTCGGCCCTGGCGTCCCTGTCGCTCTCCTGGTTCCTGACGCTCTTCCTCAGCATCATGCCCCTGGAGAGCGCCGTGCACGTGGTCGACTGCTTCTTCTACGACGGCATCAAGGTCGTCTTCCAGCTGGGGCTGGCCGTGCTGGAGGCCAACGCCCGGGCCCTGTGCAGCAGCCGGGACGACGGCCAGGCCCTCGTGCTCCTCAGCAGGTGCGCCTGGCTGCGGGCTGTGCTGTGCAGGACGAGGTGGGCAGGGGCTATGTCTGGAGGCTCCTGCCCCTCAGCCATTTGCCCCAGGTGTCCCCGCCTCCCCTCCCTCTTCTTGGCCAAGCGGGAGTCTGGCCTGCCGAGAAAGGGCCTCTGGCTTTCCTCAGAGGAGATTCAAAAGTCTGGAGTGTAGATGGAACCTAGTGGCCTGACTGGGCCGCGGGCGGGGGAGGGGCGCCGGGGTGCCCGGAGCTGAGGGGAGTGGGCTGGCAGGTCCCTTTCGAAAGCTGTGGAGCCTGAGCACCTGTGCACGGATCCTGTGCGGTCACCAGAGAGCGCACAGCCTGCGACCAGAGAGCCCAGTCGGCAGGTCTGGCTCAGGCTGCCTTTCCTGCCCCTGAGCGGCACTGGGGCTGCCCTGCCCTCTCCCGGGTCAGGGAAATGAGCTGTGGCCGGTGCTGAGCCACATCTCAGGCCTGTGACCGGCGAGGGCAGCTGGCTCACCGTGGGGCTGTGCTCAGGTTTCTAGATCACATCAAGAATGAGGACAGCCCTGGGCCCCCCATGGGCAGCCACCACGCCTTTGTCTCCGAGGACCAGGAGCCCCCTCCAGTGACAGACATTGGGGACCTGATCCGCGACTCCTATGAGGTAGCGGGGCCCTGCCTGTCCCGCCGCCCGCAGGCACCGCTGGGGAGATGGGACGGGCTGCAGGGGCGGCGGGGCTGTGCCCTCGTGCCCAGGAGGGACCCTCTCCCTGCAGAAGTTCGGGCACCAGTCGGTGGGGCAGATTGAACGCATGCGCTGCAGGCACAGGATCCGGGTCCTCCAGGGCCATGAGGGCACCACCAAGCAGAACGTGGTGAGTGAAGCCTCCTCCATGGGGCGGGGCGGGGGGCGGGGGGGCCTGGGGCCCCCTGTTGGCCTCCAGCAGGAATACCAACCAGCTTTCTGCCCTGGCCCATGGCACGGTTGGTTGGAGCTGTCAGCCGATGAACTCAAAGGTGGTGGGTTCGATTCCCAGTCAGGCACATATCAGGTTAAGGGTTCAATCCCTAGTTGGGGCGCTTATAGGAGGCAACTGATCAATCAGAAACATCACATTGCTGTTTCTCTCTCTCAAATTGATAACCATGTTTTGGGGTGAGGATTAAAAAAGGGTGCCAGCTTTTCCCCGTTGAATTAAGACCTTCATAGAGGTGGCGTGGTGAGCATCGGCATGGGTTTTAGTCAGACAGATGGGAGCAGAGGGCCCGCTGGAGCCTCAGTCCCTCTGTGGAATGAGGACAGTGGCGCGGTGTGGGCCGGAGGAGGCGGCACACAGACATCCAGGCCCTGGCCTGCGTGCTCCTGGACCGCCCGCCCCGCCGTCCAGCCAGGCCAGGGTTGAACTCCACAAGAAGGTCACCTTGGCCAGAGGCCTGTGTGTCTGGAAGGGGCGGGGCGGGGGGCAGACCCCACTCACGCCTTCGCTGTCTGCTCTCCTGCAGCTCCGCGTGGTCAGCCCTGAAGTCTCGTTCCCCTTTGGCGACCTCGAGGAGCTCTATGACTTGTTCAAGGTGCAGGTCCGGGAAGGGGAGGGAGAAGCCAGGCCCGGCCACTGTGGTCAGCCTGCCCGGGTGGCGTGTGGGAGCTGACCTGGGACAGCAGAGGCTGTGGCCACCCTGCCTGCTGTCGACCTGCCCTGCCCCCCCCCCTGCCCGCCCCTACCCTCGCTGCTGCTTTTCTACACCAGGTTCCCGGTCCCATCAGATGGGACAGGGGCCCACAGAGACCATCGCTTCATATACGTTTTCATTATTTATAATTCTCACATGTTCCTAAACATCTACACCTATTCCTATATTTATGTGGTTGGTATGCATGCCACATACTCTTAATATTTTTTAAATAACTTTATAATCTATCGTATTTGTAATAATATGCTAAACCATGTTTCTACTATTTGGTTATTTAGGTAGATTCTCAGGTGTTGCTACCTATGCTACAAAGAACATTTTTTTTTTGTTAAATATGTTTTTTATTGATTTGAGAGAGAGAGGAAGGGAGAGGGAGAGAGAGAGAGAATCATTGATGGCTGCCTTCTGCACACCCCCCACCGGGGCTCGAGCTCGCACCCCGCACATGTAGTGGGGGTTCTGCACACCGTCCCCCACGAACATCACCTGTTTTCAAGTCTCACCGTTTTTCCTGCTTCAGGAAGAGGAAATACGAAGTCAGAGGTGACTGGGTGTCCCAAGTCCTCTAACTTCGAGGAGAAGCAGGGACACGTGAAGCGGGAAGCGACCGTGCGCTTCAGCATCTACAGTCGTTCATCTATTCAGGGTCAACTATTCTCAATTTGGGAGAATACGTGACGTCACAAATCTGGATTTATGTAATGTAAACGATTGCTTTAAATTCACATTTCACTAAGTACTAGTCATGTCATTCATCTTTAAAGAGTTTTAAAGGAGGTAGAGCTGACTGTTTCTTGTTTCTTGTTTCCATATTTCCTGTGAATGATGTGACTGGTACTTAATGAAATTCATTTTCATATTAGCCCTGTAAGTCTTTCATTTTTGTAAGACTAAATACAAATAGAAACTTAAAATAACTTTGAAAATGTACCTCCAAAGGAAATGCCAGTGGAATAGTGTCATGTCACGGTGCCCAGTTCTGTTGCACAACCTGGTGCCTCCTTTGTCCCACCAGCCTTCCTTCAAAGCCCAGGTCAGCATCCTGCTCCGCAAGCAGCCCTCTCAGCGGTCCGTTCTCCCCGCGTCTGACCTGAATGTCCTTGGCTTTCAGCCAGACTTCTCACGTTTCAATGCTTGATCTTCTCTGGTTGGATTTTGCATGCACCTCTTGTCTTTTGAGTCAGACTTTTATTTTGTTGAGGGAAAGGCCTTGAGGAGGCGGGTTCAGGAGCCCTTACTCAGCATCATGGATGGCACCTCCCTGAGCCTGGGAGGTGCAGGTGCGACCATTGTGTCTGTTAACAAGAGTCAGCTCTGATTGCCATCTTTACATACTGTTTCCTATTGAAGACGAACCGTGTGGTTGGTACTTAATGAAATCTATTTTTTTTAAACATTTTTATTTTTATTTATTTTTTTAAAATATATTTTATTGATTTTTTACAGAGAGGAAGGGAGAGAGAGAGAGAGAGAGAAACATCGATGAGAGAGAAACATCGATCAGCTGCCTCCTGCACATCTACTGGGGATGTGTCCGCAACCCAGGTACATGCCCTTGACCGGAATCGAACCCAGGACCCTTCAGTCCGCAGGCCGACGCTCTATCCACTGAGCCAAACTGGTTTCGGCATGAAATCTATTTTTATTGTTAGGTTGAAGCAATCTTTTAATCCCCTAAGGCAGTGGTCAGCAAACTGCGGCTTTCGAGCCACATTCGGCTCTTTGGCCCCTTGAGCGTGGCTCTTCCACAAAATACTGACTTCTGCGCATGGGCCACGAAGTCTCAGTCGCACTGTACGTGCGCGCCCGCAGGTGGTATTTTGTGGAAGAGCCACACTGGGCTGGGCTGTGGGCCGTATTTTGCGCCATGGGGTCTCGGCAGCGTCGGCTGCGATTTGGTGGGCTGTGGCTCCGGGGTGGTGGCAGGGCCTGTGTGCCACTTGGGGGAAGCCAAGTGTTGCTTTGTCGGCGCCCGGTCTGTGGTAATGTTTCTTTGTAAATGGCCAAGTGGGTATCACTGTGGCTCCTGTGTTGAGCGTCTGCCCCCTGATGGTCAGTGCATGTCATAGTGACCAGTCGTATGGTTGGAGGGACACTTAGCATATTAGCCTTTTATATATATACTAGGGGCCCAGTGCACAAAAAAATTTGTGCACTCGGGGGGGAGGAGGGGTCCCTCACCTCAGCCCGGCCTGTGCCCTCTCGCAGTCTGGGACCCCTCGGGAGATAACGACCTGCTGGCTTAGGCCTGCTCTCGGGTGGCAGAGGGCAGGCCCAATCCCTAGGTGCAGCCCCTGGTTGGGCTCAGAGCAGGGCCGATTGGGGAGTTGGGGCGCTGCCACCTGTCATGCACAGAGAAGGGCGGATCGGGAGGTTGCGATGCCACCCCTAGTCACGCTCAGGGTAGAGCCGATTGGGGGTTTGGGGCACCATCCTCTGTCACACTCAAGGCAGGGTCGATGGGGAGGTTGCAGCGCCACCCCCTGTCACGCACAGAGCAGGGCCGATCAGGGGGTTGGGGCGCTGCCCCCTGTCACTCACAGAGCAGGGCCCATCAGGGGGGTTGGGGCTCCGTACCCTGTCACGCACAGAGCAGGGCCCATCAGGGGGGTTGGGTGCCGCCACTGTCACACACAGAGTAGGGCCGATAGGGAGGGTTATGGCTCTACCCCGTCACACACAGAGCAGGGCCTGTTGGGGGGGGAGGGGGGTTGGGGCGCCGCACCCTGTCACACAGAGCAGGGCCGATCAGGGGGTTAGGGCGCTGCACCCTGTCACACACAGAGCCGCAGGGTAATCGGGATTGGGGAGCTCCCCCCTATCAGGCACAGAGCAGGGCCAATCAGGGGGTTGGGGCGCTTTCCCCTGTCACGAACAGAGCAGGGCGGATAGGGAGGTTGTGGCCCCGCCCCCTGTCACACAAAGAGCCGCAGGGTGATCAGGGGGTTTGGTCGCTGCCCCCTGTCACACTGATCCCAGTGCCGGGAGGCCTCGCGGCTCTGCTGATCCCGGTGCTAGGAGGCATATTACCCTTTTACTATATAGGACAGAGGCCTGGTGCATGGGTGGGGGCCAGCTGGTTTGCCCTGAAGGGTGTCCTGGGTCAGGGTGGGGGTCCCCACTGGGGTGCCTGGCCAGCCTGGATGAGGGGTTGATGGCTGTTTGCATCTGGTCACACCCCCTTTAGGGTGGGGGTCCCCACTGGGGTGCCTGGCCAGTCTGGGTGAGGGGCTGAGGGCCGTTTTCAGTCTGGCGGGTGACTGAAGCTCCCAACCTGTCCTTTTTTTCTTTTTCTTTTTTTTATTCTGAGCCAGCTTTAGCTCTGAGGCTTGGCTCCAGCTCTGAGGCCTCGGCTGCTGAAAGCAGGTATCTGGTTTGTTTGAGTTCTATAATTGAAACACTGTTTCAACTCCAGCTCTGAGATCCCGGCTGGCTGAAAGCAGGTTTCTGGGGTTTTTTTTAGCTTCTATATTTGTAACAATGTTTCAAACTGCAAGCTCAGAAGCCGGCAGCCGCAGGCGGGGAATGTTGGCTTCCTCCGTCACTGAAGCAAGCAAGCCTCCTGTTAGCTTTAATCTGCCTGGCTGCCGGCCGCCATCTTGGTTGGCAGTTAATTTGCATATCACCCTGATTAGCCAATGGGAAGGGTAGCGGAGGTACGGCTAATTACCATGTTTCTCTATTAGATAGGACTAGAGGCCCGGTGCACAAAAATTTGTGTGCTGGGGGGTGGGGGGGGAGTCCCTCAGCCCGGCCTGCACGCATTTGCAGTCCAGGACCCCTTGGGGGATGTCCACCTGTCAACTTAGGCCCACTTCCTGGGGGATCAGGCCTAAGCTTGCAGTCAGACATCCTTCTGGCAGCCAGGGAGCCCTCGGGGGATGTCCGACTGAAGGCTTAGGCCTCCAAGGGATCGGGCCTAAACCATTAGTTGGAGATTCTTAGTGCTGCCACGGAGGTGGGAGAGGCTCCTGCCACCACCTCTGCACTGGCCAACCATGAGCCAGCTTCTGGCTGAGCGGCACTCCCCATATGGAAGTGCACTGACCACCAGGGGGCAGCTCCTGCATCGAGCGTCTGCCCCATGATGGCCAGTGCGCATCATAGCAACCGGCCATTCTGCCGTTCAGTCAATGTGCATATTAGCCTTTTATTATTATTATATAGGATGTCCCTATTTCCCCCCTTTTGCCCCCTCTAACCAGCTCTTGCCCCCCACTTCTCTCTGGCCATCACCATACTGTTGTCTGTGTCCATGGGTTGTGCATATATTTTCTTTGGCTAATCCCTTCTTTAAATTCACTTCTTTAAATTTTTATTTTTAGATAAGTGCTTATAACTGCCCTATTATATATTTTCTATTATATCATCTAGAATTAAGATATTTTTTAATTGAACTCTTGTAAATTTTAGCACAATTTAATAAATTATGCTAAAAGCAATTAGGAGATTTTTCATGTAATGCAGATACATTTCAATTAATATTTTATTAATTTTTAATTTTTTAATATTTTAATTTGAAATAATCTCATACATGTAAAAAAACTATAAAATACTACATCATATTATATATACCCTTCACCCAATTTCTTAGGTGTTAATAATTTAAACATAACCATTATACAACTAACAAAATTTGGAATATATTTTTCTTATAATCTCTTTAATGTTACTTAATCCACTTACTTTGTTTTTGTTAATCTTCACCCAAGGATATTTTTCCATTGAATTTTAGAGAGAGTGAAGGGAAAGGGAGAGACACATTGATTGGTTGCCTCCTGCACATGCTCTGATAGGGACTGGGGATCAGGCCAGCAACTGAGGTACATGCCCTTGACTGAAATCGAACCTGGGACCCTGCAGTCCATGGGCTAATGCTCTATCCACTGAGCAAAACAGGCTGCAGCTTAATTCATTTACTTTTAATCTATATGTGTCTTTATATTTAAAGTGGGTTTTGTTTTTTATTCACCCTCATAATTTGTCTTTTAGTTGGTGCATTTATGCCACTGACTTTCAGAGTGCTTACTGATAGAGTTACTACCATATCAGGCGGCTTCTGGGGCTTCTGGAGCCGGCCAGTGGCCCGGGATCGGATCCATCGTGGGCAGCGGGCAGGCGGCTTCTGGGGTCGCCCACGGGGGCCTGGATGGTGGCTCTCGCTGGCGGCTCCCGCTGTCCTGCCCTGCCTGCAGTATGCAAATTAGTCGGCATCTTTGTTGGCAGTTAATTTGCATATCTCGCTGATTAGCCAATGGGAGGTGTAGTGAAGGTACGGTCAATTACCATGTTTGTCTATTATTAGGATAGATGATTGATATGAACAGGCATACAGAATGACTCGACTCACACGCATTGGGAAGGGATCACCACAATAAGTTTAGTTAACACCTTCTTCTCATAGGAACACACACACAAAAGAAAACAATGTGTTTTCCCTTGTGATGAGAACTTTTAGGATCTATTCTCTTAGCAACTTTCAAATATACACACACAGTGCTATCCAGTCTCCAAGCGGTAACTACATCCCAGTGCTCACTTAGAACTGAAAGTGTGCCTCTGACCCTCACCAACTGCCCCGCTGCCCCCACTGCCCCCCACCAGTACCACAAACCTGAGCTCTTTTCTGTGGCTTTGTGTTTTTGTTGTTCATTGTTGCTTTTATTTTTTAGATTTCACATATGAGTGAGATCATATGGTATTTGTCTTTCTCTGTCTGACTTACTTCACTTGGCATAGTATCATCTAGGTCAGGGGTGGGCAAACTTTTTGACTCGAGGGCCACAATGGGTTCTTAAACTGGACCGGAGGGCCGGAACAAAAGCATGGATGGAGTGTTTGTGTGAACTCATATAAATTCAAAGTAAACATCATTACATAAAAGGGTACGGTCTTTTTTATTTTAGTTTTATTCATTTCAAACGGGCCGTATCCGGCCCGTGGGCCGTAGTTTGCCCACGGCTGGTCTAGGTCCATCCGTGCTGTAAAGCAGGCTTTAAATCACACAAACTCGGATTTGTGACATCCACCTCCTATCCTTTCGGTTAGAGAACCACTTCGTGAGCCTTGTCTCCCAGGTGAGGTGTGACCATGTGCAGCACGCTCGGTGTCGGGCTCTCCTGGGAGCACCCAGGACCTGCTCCTCTTCACCATCAGCCACATCTGCTCACTGTTGCTGGAATATTAGGCCCAGGAGAGCATTTAGTCTGTTAAATATCACTTTACTTGCCATCATGTTCTGGTTAACTTTTCAAAATTCAATAAAAAATTTAAACTAACGGAAGTAAAAGTATACCTACTCTCACCATTGAAAAAATATAAAACTTTAAAGCAAAAACAAAAAAAAGGATTTATCCTATCTGCACCTACAGTCCTATCTTGTCCAGGAAGTACTCTTCACAATATGGCAAGTCCTTTCCTGATTTTACCCTTATGTTCTCTCTCTGTGAACACACACACACACACACAGGCTTATCCTTTTTTCCACACAAAAACAAGATTATGTGCACATAATGGCCTGCAATTTTTTGTCATGAATATTTTCTTTTATATATATATATTTTATTGATTTCAGAGAGGACGGGAGAGGGAGAGAGAGTAGAAACATCAATGATGAGAGAATCATTGATTGGCTGCCTCCTGCACGCCCCACATTGGAGTTCGAGCCCACAACCCAGGCATGTGCCCTGACCGAAAATCAAACCAAGACCTGGTTCATAGGTCAACACTCAACCACTGAGCCACGCCGGCCAGGCAGTCATGAACATTTTTCTAAATCAGTATCTGCAGCTCTTCCTCATTCTTATAAAATGGCTACACAGCTTCACTGTAGGGCAGAACCATCATTTACTTAATGTTTACTTATTCAGGGACATTTGTGTCTCCAGTTTTTGCTGCTCGATGCACAGTGCTGCCTGAGTAGACGTCGCCCAGACGCTGCTGCCCTGCGGGGCTCCCTCGGCGCCGCCCGGACAGGCAGCTGTGAGGGCTTTGAGCTTTCAGATTCCAGGTCCACGGAGGATGTCTCGCACGCGCACTCCTGCGGCCGCTCCCTCCAGCATTTAATGTTACGGACCTTTGAACGCCTTCCTAGTCTTGTAGAAACCGCATTTTCTTTTACTTTAACCTTGCTTGCTCCTCAGTGAGGCTGAGTCGCTCCAGGAGTTCACTGGCTGATTGGGCCCTTCCCGTGCTGCCTGTGGGCGCCGCGCCTGCTTCTATGTTGTTGGCGTGTGGGGGGCTCTGTGCACACGGGTGGGACTCGTCCTCGGCTCCCGTGCGGTGCTCTTCCGGGCAGGGCTCCATGGGCGTCTGCATCGCAGGCGCCACATGCCCACGGCAGCTCAGTGCGCTGGGGCTTTCAGGAGCGACTGTATTAGACCTGCGTGCTGCGTGTCGCGATTCTGCAAAGGCTGCTGAAGGAGCATGTCACAGTGACTGTGACAATAAAATGGTGAATGGCATTTTGGTTTCTGTCCAAAATGGAGTGTGCGCTGGCACAGTGTGGTGTGGGCACGTGTGGGGACCCGAGTTGTGAATTGAGACATCCCGGGAGGGGACGTAACGGGGCGGGGGGGGGGGGGGGGTTGGGGGGTGGTCCCCAGTGCCTGGGCCAGTTCTGATGTCTTTAGTTTTCAGTCTGTTCAGACTTTCATACCACCTGTGTTTCGTACTTTGACTTTTTTGAATCGTTAATATATTCATGTGATTGAACATTTAGAACATATAAAACAAGTATGTTTTTCCACATTTGGTTCCCTGCCCCCATTTTCCCTCCGACAGGTAACCAAGTGTTGCTCCTTTTGTATCCTGTAGCTTTGGCTACATAAACATCAAATTAAACACTGCATGTCCTCTATAATTAAAACTATGGTAGCTGAGCTGTACATTTACAAATGGTTAAAATGGTAAATTTTATAAATACATTTGCTACAAAGAAGAAAAACCTTAATAAAAAAGGGTGTCCAAATTACACTCACATGGTAGCAAGGAAAAACTTTACATGTCTGGTCGGAGTGGTGAGACCCGTGACTTAATTTTTCCATTTGTGTTGCAATGTTGCGTATTCAATAGTAATGATTTGACAAGGCAGGGAATGCCTCCAACTGTGGTGAGTGGCCGCGGCCCCTCTGCTTTCAGCGGGAGCACATGATGAGCTGCTACTGGGAGCAGCCGCGGCCCGGGCCTGCCCGCCACGACCCCAGCCGGCCCTACGCCGAGCAGTACCGCATAGACAGCCGGCAGTTTGCACGCCTGTTCCAGCTGGTCTCGCCATGGACCTGCGGGGCGCACACGGAGATCCTCGCCGAGAGGACCTTCCGGCTCCTGGACGACAACATGGACCATCTTATCGAATTCAAAGCATTTGCCAGCTGCCTCGGTAGGACTGCTGACCGCAGCACGTTGCTTTGGGTGTGAGTCTGTGAACACAGTGCAAGGTGTACTGTGTAGCAGGAACAATGAACTGTCCTTGTGAATGGCCTGACACAAGTTTGTGATTTTTAAAATCACTGCAGGCTCCTCCTGAGGTCTCTATGCTTCCTGAAGGGGGGGCCAGGCTCTCAGCCCCCAGGTCACTGAGCTGTTCTCATGGCGCCGGGGAGTGGGGACTTGCTAGAAGCCACGTCCCTAATGCTTACACATAAAAAGAGCCTTCGGAAGGCATGAGGCTCCCTGGCAGCTCAGCAGTCACCCGTCACCACCCTTCACATGCTCATGCACACAGTGGGCCTGGGAGCAGGGGAGGAGGAAGTTCTCTATGACAAGTGTATGTGAACTGCTTGCATCTGCTCTCTTTCTCCCAGACGCTATGTATAATGGAGAAATGAATGAGAAAATTAAACTGCTCTACAGGCTCCACGTTCCTCCCGGTAAGAAATTCTGAGACATACCGGGCTCTGTTCTGCCTTAACACTGACCAGCTTTGCGCACAACACAAAAGTTCTTTTTATTTTTTATTGGTTTAGAGAGAGAGGAAGGGAGAGAAGCATCTATTTGAGAGAAAAACATCAACTGTTGTCTCCCGTAGGCACCCTAGCTGGGTATACACCCTGACCAGGAATTGAACCTGTGACCTTTCTGTGTAGGGGACAGTGCTCTACCAACTGAGCCACACAGTCAGGGCCTCAAGTTCTTTCTGAATTTCATTTAGACTGGAAGCAACCAATGTTTCTTTTTTAAAAACATATTTTTATTGATTTCAGAGAGGGAGGAGAGATAGAAACATCACTGATGAGAATAATTGATCAGCTGCCTCCTTCACGCCCCCTACTGGGGATCGAGCCCACAATCTGGGCATGTGCCCTGACTGGGAATCCAACTGTGACCTCCTGGTTCCTAGGCCAATGCTCAGCCACTGAGCCCCGCCGGCCGGGCGCGATGTTTCTGACTTAGGGTTCCTGACGGCAGATTTGAGTGCCGTGCTGTGGCCGATGGCGGTGGCTCTGATGCGAGTGGGCAGCAGAAGCCTTCAGGACTTGGCAGCACACCTGCCTGAGCCCTGGCTTCTGACCCGCTGGTCCAAGGACCATACTGTAGGAATTGCTGGCCTGTGGATGTATGGGGAAGCCAGGCCTGGTGGTCTCAGCAGATGGCTCTTTTATGCTACTGCTTCTGAAGAATCCCTTCAGTTTTCCAACATGTAAGGCCTTGCTTCCTTTAAATTGAAGCAGTGGTAACCAGGAACAAAGGAAGCAGTTTTGAAATCTACAGGACCAGACGTGGTGTTCACCTCCAGGTATTGCATGAGGCGCCTGGGGCACTGTTAGGCTTCCAGGCCAGGCCAGTGGCTTTTTGAAATCTACAGGACCAGACGTGGTGTTCACCTCCAGGTATTGCATGAGGCGCCTGGGGCATGAGGTTGGCATTACTGGGCTGATGTGTAACATTGTGTACATTACCTCCGGGGCGCGCTATGGCACTTCATTGCTACTTCCCTGCAAACAGAATCAGTGAAGTTCTTTGCCATTTATGCAAACATAATTTGCTCTTATTTTTCATGTTTTCCTATGGCACTTCATTGCTACTTCCCTGCAAACAGAATCAGTGAAGTTCTTTGCCATTTATGCAAACATAATTTGCTCTTATTTTTCATGTTTTCCTACTAACATAGAAGACATGCATAGTTATTTCTTTATTATCATCATTGTCATTACCGTCTTTTCATAATCATTCTATCTGGTATTGCTAAATACGACATGATTGACTTAATTTTATTCAATGATTTCATCTTGAGTTTTAAATAACTTTATTTTGTGATAATTTTAGATTTATAGAAAAGTTACAAAGATCATATAGATCTCATTCTTGGTATAGCTTTAAATATATTAGTTTTTTTATATCATTTGAGATTGATATTTGATTCTCAATACTTCATATTGAATTATTGTTTCCAAATTACAAGTTTATTTCTAAAAGGCATATTTTAATTATATTAATCAATTTAAGACCTTTATGGCTTCAGAAAATCCATTTTTCAAAAATGTTCTGAATATATAAAATTGTAATACTTATATTGTGTGACTCTGAATTTAAATTGTTAAATGGAAGATTTGATTTATTATTTGAATTTTTATGCAGTTTTTTTTTAAAAAGTCTTAAGAATGCAGACTCTAAAACCTGCAGTTAAACACATCAATCTGCCAAGGCCATGACAAGCCACAATACATTTAAGTATTTTCATTTAAATAAATTTAATTTTAACAAATATATGCATTCCACCAATAATGAATAACTTTTGGATTAAAGGTAGGACAGATGCACTAGTTGGAAGAGTTGAACTCTCATGAGGAAGTTTGCTGCGGGTCACAGTGTGAATGTGGGCCCAGAGTACGTCTGTCTGCCTGGTGGGAGGCCCAGCGCCTGGCCCCTGCAGCCGCTGACCCTGGGCCCGAGCTGAGGCTTCTGCTGCCACTCAGGAAGCGGAGGCAGGGCCTCGGGCCCTCCGAGTTCTAGGAGAGCTCACTCATTGGCTCCACTGCTTAGCAAAGGCAACAGAAAAGAAATGTCCAGATGATTTGCTGCTGTCTCAGGTGACACAGGGCTGAACAGTATCCCAGAGACTAGTAAGTCAGGATGACTAATGTGTGCCTAAGAGGAAAGTTCGGCACTCAGTTTATACCCACCATCTTGGTTCTCTCTGATCGGTCTTTTCTTACGGTTACACTCAGAAACAATACTGAAAATAAACTATACTCTCCCACTTTTGGGAACATGCCTGTATGTCAAAATACCTACTGGAAACCAAGAAAACTGAAGGGTCACTACACTGCTCTAAGGACCACATTATTACTACTTTTTATTTTTTTATTTATTTATTTTTATTAAATCTTTATTGTTCAGATTATTACATTGGTTCCTCTTTTTTCCCACCATAACTCCCCTCCACCCAGTTCCCACCCCACCCTCTGCCCTCACTCCCCACCCACTGTCCTCATCCATAGGTGCACATGGATTATTGTCCAATCTCTTCCCGCACCCCCCACACTCCTTTCCCCCCCAAGAATAGTCTGTCCATTCCCTTTCTATGTCCCTGATTCCATTATAATCACCAGTTCATACTGTTCATCAGATTATTTATTCACTTGATTTTTAGATTCACTTGTTGATAGCTGTGTATTTGTTGTTCATAATTTGTATCTTTACCTTTTTCTTCTTCTTCCTCTTCTTAAAGGATACCTTTCAGCATTTCATATAATACTGGTTTGGTGGTGATGAACTCCTTTAGCTTTTCCTTATCTGTGAAGCTCTTTATCTGACCTTCAATTCTGAATGATAGCTCTGCTGGATAAAGTAATCTTGGTTGTAGGTTCTCGGTATTCATCACTTTGAATATTTCTTGCCACTCCCTTCTGGCCTGCAAAGTTTCTGTTGAGAAATCAGCTGACAGTCGTATGGGTACTCCCTTGTAGGTAACTAACTTTCTTTCTCTTGCTGCTTTTAGGATTCTCTTTGTCTTTTGCTCTTGGCATTTTAATTATGATGTGTCTTGGTGTGGTCCTCTTTGGATTCCTTTTGTTTAGGGTTCTCTGTGCTTCCTGGACTTGTAAGTCTATTTCTTTCACCAGGTAGGGGAAGTTCTCTGTCATTATTTCTTCAAATAGGTTTTCAATATCTTGCTCTCTCTCTTCTTCTGGCACCCCTATAATTCGGATGTTGGTACGCTTGAAGCTGTCCCAGAGGCTCCTTACACTATCTTCGTATTTTTGGATTCTTTTTTCATTTTGCTTTTCCGGTTGGGTGTTTTTTGCTTCTTCGTATTTCAAATCTTTGACTTGATTCTTGCGATCCTCTGGTCTGCTGTTGGGAGTCTGTATAATATTCTTTATTTCAGTCAGTGTATGCTTAATTTCTAGTTGGTCCTTTATCACAACATCGAGGGTCTCATTAGATTTCTTGAGGATCTCAATACATTTATCGGCAGTCTCATCAGTCTTTTTGAGGGCCTTACTAAGTTTATCGGTGGCTTCTAGACAGTTCTTTAAAGACCTTAAAAGTGTGGTTTTGAACTCTATATCCAGCAATTTTCTTTCCTCTATTTCTGTCATTTGTGTCCTTTTTCTTTGTCTCGGCATTTTTTATGCTTCCCTGTATTGATAAAGTGGTTTTCTGTGCTAAGTGTCCTCTAGGGCCCAGTGGTTCAGCCTCCCCAATTACCTGAGGAGGACACTCTTGGTGCACTCCCTTGTGGGCTTTATGCACAGTCTTGTTGTAGTTAAGCCTTGATTGTTGTAGTTATCACTGGGAGGAATTGGCCTCCAGGCCAATTGGCTGTGAGAATCAGCTGTGTCTGCAGTGGGAGAACTTCTGTGCTGGGGACACCCCTCTGGGGCAAGACTTGCTTCAATGGGGCTTTGGTGCTCACTGAGTCTGCCCCCTGAGTGTGTCCTTTGTTTCCAGGGAGCTGCAAACTGGATGGTCCCACTCTGACCTCTGGGTTTCCTGGCTCCTGGACCTGTAGGGAGGTGCTAATCTAGCCTTTGCCTGAGGCTATTCAGCAAAAGCCTCCCTGCAGGGCTTGGGCGGGGCGGGTCCCACGGGATCAACAGGGCAGGGCTAACAGTTATGGCTGCTTTCAGTCTTGCCCTCAGAGGCTCTGCTTCTCAGTGTCCCGGTAATCGCTGCAAGCCCCTCCAAGAGAAAGCTGCCCTTGGGTTCCGACTGATGCCAGACAGTCCCACTTCTCCCGTATGAGTCTGGGTCCCTAGAGACTCGCCCGGAACTGGAGCTCAGAGCCTGAGACTCCCTCCCGATTGAAAACGACAACCGTGCCCTCAGCCGCCAGCCCACTCCACATGCACCTCCGCACCTCAGTATTTACTTCCGCACTGCACCTCCTCTGAGTCTCGGTATGCTTTTCTCTTTCCTTCTAGTTGTAGAATTTCCACTCAGCCAGCCTTCCAGTGGTTCTGGCTGATGTCCGTTCCGTCCTTTAGTTGTATTTTTGAAGTGGTTGTGCGAGGCAGCAATCTCCAGTGTTTACCTATACTGCCATCTTGGTTCCTAATCTCTATTACTACTCTTTAAATGTATTTTTATTTCAGAGAGGAAGGAAGAGGGAGAGAAACATCAGTGAGAGAGATTTCATTGATCAGCTGCCTCCTGCACACCCCTACTGGGGATCGAGCCCACAACCTGGGCACGTGCATGTGCCCTGACGAGGAACCGATCCATGACCTCCTGGTTCATAGGAAAGGCCACATTATCAATGAGTACGACCGACGTGGCATACATGAGCAGGTCACCAGCTGGGGTGGAAAAAGATGAGCTAAATGATGACTCCTCCCAGGATCAAGAACTTCCTTCAGAGAATGCAGTCAGTGTGAAGATTCAGTTTGAGAATGGTTCTGAAAAACAGATGATGTACTGAGGAAACTTGCAAAGGTCAACTTCTCACAGGACACAAAAAGTGACAGTTCACCTTCTAACAACTTGGCCAGTGCTGACACCAGCCAGGTAGAAGTGATGCCAGGCACACTGGCTTGGCAATGGACAGCTTGGGTTTGGTGAGAGATCTGTTCTTTAGATTGGAATCTGAGTTGAAAATGCCACTAGAAGATTTTTAAAAATATGAACTGTAGAATACAAACTGACTTAAAAAAATTTTTGTGAAATTATTGCCAGGAAGCCATTAAGATATTAGATTAATCCAGTACTTATATACCTCAAGTGACTTTTTTACAGTCGATACCTGAGACACCAGTTGGATACTTTACACAACTGGTGGTCTGTGAAGTCTGAAAGGTTGGCGACAGCTGCTTTAGTTGGTTTTCTCATCAGTGACTCGGATATACTGGAATTCCTAATCCAAATTCAAGTCCCATATTTGTTTTTTCCAACCACGTGGAGGGGGTAACAGGAGAGCACTATTTTGCTTTTGCAAGAAAATATGATGGAGAAATGCATCTGGAGGCCAGATTGTATTGAAAGCTGATTAAGAGATAAGGGAGTTTCAGATAACCAAATGTAAATCATTCACCAGATTTTAACTTGTGCAGTCCTTGAAGTGAGACAAAATGAAAACTTTAAATGTTTAATTCATTTATAACCTTGAATTATGAATTTTATACGCACACGCGCGCGCGCGCGCGCATACACACACACACACACACACACACACAGCCTGGTGCATGAAATTCGTGCACGGAGGAGGGGTTCCCTCAGCCCAGCCTGCACCCACTCCAATCAGGGAACCCCTCAGGGGATGTCTAACCACCAGTTTAGGCCCGATCCCTATGTGGGATCGGGCCTAAACCGACGGTCAAACTCCCCTCTCACAATCTGGGACCACTGGCTCCTAACCACTCACTTGCCTGATTGCCCCTAACCCAGGGGTGCGCAAACTTTTTGACTCGAGGGCCACAATGGGTTCTTAAACTGGACTGGAGGGCCGGAACAAAAGCATGGATGGAGTGTTTGTGTGAACTAATACAAATTCAAAGTAAACATCATTACATAAAAGGGTACGGTCTTTTTTTTTTTAGTTTTATTCATTTCAAACGGGTCGGATCCGGCCCGCGGGCCGTAGTTTGCCCACGGCTGCCCTAACCTCTCTGCCTGCCTGCCTGATCACCCCCAACTGCCCTCCTCTGCCGGCCAATTTGGTTCTGATTGGTCAGTTTCTATGCTAGTCAGCATCTCTGGGCCTGATCAGCAGCCCGGTGGAGGCCTGGAGAGAAATGGAGGTGCGGCTGTTGGCCAGGCTGGGAGAGAGAGGCAAGTTCTGATCAAGGGCTGCCACAGTGGCTACGGATCAGACCCTGCCTCTCTCTCTGCAGGCCTTTCTCTGGGCCTGATCTGCAGCCCCTAAGGCAGTCAGTGCTGGGTTGCCACAAGCCTTAGATGTTATGACCCTGGCTCTTTATTATATAGATTGGAATTACAAAAATAAGGTTACATTTATAATAAAAGTTCAAATAGCTCATTAAAAGGCTGCAAGTACATTTGAGGATTGTATATAAACTCGGTTTACTCTTCCCTAATGCATTGTGTCCTAGTGCCCAGTCAGGTCGTGTTTTCTGTGCCAGAACTGGAGAGGTCGGAAGCCCTGCTCTGTGGTTGATTGGCCTTTCCAGTTCTGTCACTGTTGATTTTATCTGCCTCTTTTCTGGACACTGTCCACCGTGTGAATCTTCCTGCCGTAGACTCCCATGACATTTGTGTTTATTGGTTCTTGCGTTGAAGCATGTTAGTGACTTGTGAATAGGTTTGTTTGGTATACCAAGGTCTGAGGATAGAGACCGTGTCCTGTTGACATCTCAGGGCCTGTTTCCCAGGAGTCCATTTCCATCATGCTGGCCCCAGGACCACCCAGTGTTTGTAATTTTCCTCCTATTCAGTTCTGAGTGGCTTCACATGTGCCACTGTGTAGAATTTGTCTTGGGCAAAGTTGGGAAAGAGAATGACTATCTTTGTAATAGAAAAGAAAAAAATAAGGAAAAAAAACAGAAACCTGTCAAGGAGAGGGTAGCTTATCAAGGCTTTGGTACCATTTTGTGGGCATTTGTTCCATCACAACTGAATTTTGCCTTTGATTTCACAGTGAATGGTTTACAAATAAGCTGAGGTTGCTTTTAAAATGAGGATCCTTTGTCCATAACCCCCTTTATAAGTTTTATTAATCTATAAATCATACTGTACAATTTATTTAAAGTGTGCAGCTTGTCATCACCCCAGAAAGCAAGCCCATACCGTGTGGCTTTGCCCCAGTTCATCCATTTTCCTCTGGAGCAGCGGTTCTCAACCTGTGGATCATGACCATCGGAAAACACATATAGCATTATCAGATATTTATGATTCATAACAGTAGAAAAATTAGTTATGAAGTAGCAACAAAAATAATTTTATGGTTGGGGGGTCACCACAACATGAGGAACTGTATTAAAGGGTCGCGGCATTAGGAAGGTTGAGAACCACTGCTCTGTGGAGTCTACAGACTTGCCTCGTCCAGGCATTTCATAGAAAGGGAATCATGCGGTATGTGCTCTTGTCTGGCTGCTTTCACTTAGTACGTTTTAAAGGTTCATCAGGGTGGCAGCATGTACCAATATGTCATTTGTGGCTAAATGTGATACGGGCATGCCATAATTTATCCATTCACCAATTCTTAGGAACAACGCTGCTACAGGCACCGGTGTACAAGTTTTTGAGCTGACACTTTTCCATTCCCATTTGGTGTATACCTACCTGTCTAGTGGAATTTTGGGGTTGAATAGTAATTTATGTTTAACTTTTTGAGGAACTGCCAGACTTCTTCCCAAAGGGCTGTAATACCTTCTACTCCATCAGCAGTGCATTAGGGTTCTGATATAACTGGACCTTTGTGCAATTCAAAACTTGTAATAAAGTGCTTTGCATCCAGTAAAGCTTTTTGCAGTTTGTTAGAAATTATATAACAGCATGTGCTCAGGGGAAAACAACACGAGAAGTTTAAATTCCCTGTTAACCCATCTCAAGATTCTGTGTAAAATTTGTGTGTAGGACATACGTACATATAAACTGACTTGTATTTAAACACAATGGATCTTACTCCACACACTTCCCGGCCAGTGCCTGTCAGTCCTATGAACTGGCACGTCATTAACCGCAGCAGGATTGGCACCAGGGAAAGGCATCACCTTGGTGTGCACTGGGCTCCGCAGATCCTGCAAAGGCTGCAGCTGAGGTTGGGGGCTGCTGGCTTAGCTTACTTATCTATTAGCTTCTTTACCTAAAAAGCTTTGATTTTGGTTACAGTAATTTGTTCAATCTCTTTTTAAGCCCTCACTGAAGATGACCAAGACAGCCAGTCACCACTGAAGAACCCTCTGCTGTCCACATCAAGACCCCTGGTCTTTGGGAAAGCAAAAGGCATGTACCTTTTCACTGTCAGGAGCCAGCTGGTGGCTCTCCTTAGACTTTCCCCGTCCTGAGACTCAGTACTGAGCACACTGCTTCCCAAGGCCAGGAGCCCACAGGGCTGCAGTGTCCCGGGTGACTGCCCACGGTCCTCTAGTAGCAAGTCACCCAGCAGCCACACCCCCTTCGTGGTCCTTTGCTCTCTCCCATTTACCTAGGCTGTTTGTAGATCTTGGTTTAATTTCTCACCTCCCCTTCTCTGTTTTGCTTTTACTGAAATTATTTAAACTATATATTGTTTCCTTTGTCTCAGATGATGCCTCCGACTACAAGAAACAGCTAAAGCAGATGATTAAGGATTTAGCCAAAGAAAAAGCTAAATCTGAGACTGAGTTGCCCCAAATGAGCCAGGTATGGACTATATTCTGTGTGAAGAATTAACTTTTGTCGATCTGTTCAGAAGTAAGCCTAATAATTAAGCTGGGGCTCCTTTACCACCAAAGCCATAATCAAAGGGTTTTGTAACTTCTGGGAGCTAGACATTGTGGTAATTAAAATGTCTTCAGAACAGGACACACTGCTTCCTAGATTTTTAAAAAATATTTTTGATTTCAGAGAGAGGGAGAGATAGAAACATCAATGAGAAGGAATCATTGACCAGCTGCCTCCCGCACACCCCTTACTGGAGATCAAGCCCACAACCTGGGCATGTGCCCTCGACCTTTATGGAACCCAGGACCCTTCAGTCCACAGGCTGAGGCTCTAGCCAGAGTCAAACTAGCCAGGGCTGGTTCATGTCTTTGAAAGGTTTTTCTATCACACCCATTTACCCAGGTCATGATCAAGTCAGTTTCTTCCCTGGTGATAGCATATGGGGGCACTGTGGACACAGCTTTCTTCCCTAAAAAACTAGTATACTCCAGTTGCTTCAACACCAGTTGAATCTCCAAAACCTTGGTTTCTATGCCACATCCCAGCACTTGTGGGTTGAAAGGTGTGCACACACTCAATAGCTGTGTAGATGAATAGCACACTTCTGAGTGTGCTGAAATTCCTTGGAGGCAAAAGGCAGAGGCTACCTTTTCTCATGTTTTGCTTCCCAGTTCTTTTAAGAATGCACTATACTTCCATCCTGGTCATGCTGCTATATACTTTTTTATATTCCAGAGAGAATTTATCCAGTTCTGTAAAACTTTGTACAGCATGTTCCACGAAGACCCAGAGGAAAACAACTTGTACCAAGCCATCGCCACGGTCACCACGCTCCTGCTACAGATCGGGGAGGTGGGGCAGCACAGCAGCAGCAGCAGCAGCTTGGGGAGCTGCTCCCAGGAGAGCGGGGAGGGGCCGCGGGCCTCAGCACCTTCTCCTGAGCAGGACTCTGTTTTTGTGGACACAGACACTGGGACAGCTCCCCAGGACGCCAGGGCATTTCCTGAAGAGGCGGAAGGGGACTGGACAGTCTCCCTTGAACACATATTAGCTTCACTTCTGACTGAACAGTCATTAGTAAACTTTTTTGAAAAGCCACTGGACATTAAATCCAAACTTGAAAATGCCAAGATCAATCAGTACAACCTCAAAACTTTAGAAATGAGCAGCCAATCACTGCCTGAACTTAAGCAAGATAGTGACTTGCTGAGATGAGTTGGCCATAACAAAGCAAGAACCACCCATTTGTGGACTGTCGGCCCCATAAATCCAGGTTTCAGTCTCATTCATTCTGAGTATAGTCTATGTTCTGGGCATCCAGGTAAGCAACCTGACAGCCCCAACTGTGGCCAGAACTGATGCAACCCTCAACATTGTGTTCTTTATTAAGAGGGAGAGACACTGATACTGGTTGCCTCCCATACAAACCCTGGCCTGGGATGGGACCTGCAACCTGTCACGTGCCCTGACTGGAAATCAAACCTGTAGCCTTCCGGTGCGCAGGATGCCGCTCCAACAAACTGAGCCACAGCAGCCAGGCCAGGCCGTTTGACTATCAGATTCACTGAAATAGGCACCACCGCTGCTGTGTTTTCATTCAGATAGAACACGGGTCCAAGGCTCCATGCTAACCCAGACTAAGAAACGCCCAAGCTCATTTTTCACTTGGATAATGGGAGGTCTAGAGTCAAGTTCACTTTGAAGATCTAAGAGCCACTGTCTATGCAATTGCATCTGGCTTTTTCTTTGCACAAATTTTGTTTCAATGCTGGTAATTGAAACCATTTTAATATATTTGGTTGTATTCACTTTCCTTACAAAAATGTTGTGTATAAATCATGCTATCAATGTTGGCCTCCAAGATTTTTAATAAGAAATTTTTGTACCGACTTTGGTCCTTGTTTATACCTCGCAGTATTTGAGTTCTGAGGTCTGGGTTGTGCAGTGAACAGAGGCTGGAGGACTTCCCCCTACCCCCCCCCAATACCTGGTGCTCTAAGTCAGCAGTGCACCACGGTGGGGTCTTTAACCCTTGCAATTCTGCACACAGTAATGTAGTATCATCCCTGCAACACTGTTCTCAGCCGTATTCAGATTTTGGGCTGGATAAGCTTTAGCCCTCTGGGCTTTAGCCCCATGTAAACTGGAACTAAAAATATCTCATGGGGAGAGAACCAAGATGGCGGCGTAGGGAGCGGACCTGTGTGTGCTGCTCTCTCACAGCATCACTGAAACTATCAACTATGAAGTAAACAACCGCCACTCAGAACCATGGGGAAGTTGGCCCAGTGGGAGATCTACAACTGGAGGAAAAGAAAGAAGCGCAGTGAGACTGAGTGGGAGCTACGGAGGCACCAAAACCAGAGGTACGCAGTCACACGCCCACGCGGGCTGCAAATGGATTCTCGGTTTTTTACGAACCCTCGAATCCTCTGGGCTTGCTCAGGGCGGGTCTCTGAGGCCCCAGATCCCACAGGGAGAGGCGGCCACGGCCTTGCAGTGGTCGGAGAGCGAGGGAAGCTCTGACACGTGGCTGCTCGCCGGCACTGAGGGACAAGAAGTCCTGGTGTCCCGGGGAGGCGAGGGGCGCGGAGCCGCCGCCATCGCTATTTCCTCCACGCTGGCGACTCCCTGTGACCCCGCCCTACCCTCAGGGCTGTGCCAGAGGCACAAGAGGGAATGACTGTGCTTTTACAAACTCTCAAATCCACTGAGCTGGTTCGGGCGGGTCTCTGAGGCCCCAGGCCCCAAGGCGAGAGACGGCACGGCCTTCCAGCGGGTCAGAAAGCGAGGGAGGCTCTGGCGCTCGGCTGCTCGCCGGCACTGGGGGACGCAAAGTCCTGGAGTCCTGGATAGGCAAGGGGCCGCTGAGTCTCCACACGGCGACTCCCTGTGACCCCGCCCTACGCAATTTACATTCCCATC